GGATGACGAGCCATCATCCATCGGCGGCTTTTTTTTTTTTTTTTTTTTTCTGTTCAGGTATGTATGTCGATCCCTATACATTTGTGTGAAAACATGAATACAAATACGGGGAAAATTTTTCGAAAATGAGCCATGCGGAAGAAAAAAAGACAAATGCATTTCGGGCCCATGTGGTCGGAAAAACCGCTCCGGGGGACGCGCGCGCGCGCGCTCCTCGGTCATCGCGAAACCTCGACGCTCGACCGATTTTTCCGAGTATCCTCCTATACGTATACCTTCGAGTGCTACAATAACGAATACCCATATGCCGTGACTTAATTGGCGGCTCTGACCTCTATACTGTACGTTGGGTGGAGAGCCGTGTGCCGTATATATACGCACGATGACTCGAGAATATGACGATTAAAAAAACAAAAAAAAATCGCTCGCAGAATTAATGCAAATTCTTCGCAACGCCATACGTATGTGTGGGTATACAAACGAAAGGCACGGGCGAGAGAGAAAGTGAGCGAAGTTTTATTTTTAACAGCTAATCCGCTTAGGATTTATACATGCATAGGTACGAAAGTTATTAGGCGTCCCGAGTGTCCGATATGTATAATAATGTGCTGATTTGCTTATGTTGTCTCCCTTACCGCCTATAGGTATATATTATGGGTTTTATATACATAAATTTACGTCAAAAACAATAAGAGTTAAATAATGCACGCGCGTCACCTGCTGTTCATTGAGTCGTGGGTGACTATACGTAATGATATCTTCCACCGCGTGCGCTGTACCCATAACATGAACCCATTGTATTTTAGCATTAACGAGAGGGAAACACCGTGTACGTTTCACAAAGATTATTATTTAAAAGCAGCGAGCAATTAGCAAAGGATTAAAAAAAAAAAAAAAGTGTAAACGTATAATCAATGATTCGGAGGAGATGCGAGAAAAATAATAATATGTGTACATGGGGGAGGAGTTGAAGGATGAGAGGGAGAAATGTTTCGGTGCAATGTGGCGGAAAATTCAATTATTTTTCACGCGGCAAAAGGAGCAAAAAAAAAAAAAAAAAAAAAAACAACGACCGATGACGCGATAATGTGATAATGCGATAAAACCAAAGTGGCTGAGCGCACTCCCGCTCGGCTTGCGTCACGGGGGTTGTTATGGAAGATTAGCCCTGCTTTTCAAATCACCTCTTGGGCTATATACGTATACACGTGATGTATATTTTTTGTGCGCGTACTTTTTTTCATAGTTTTTTTAGGCCCGACGGTGAAGTACTTACAACACACGCGAGCGTGGAAACTTGGAAGTTTAATATACCATACTCCGAATGCACATGTACGAATAATGTAAAGTTTAGTTTCGCAACTGTATATTCGATTCGGGTCCGAAGAAAATTGATTGTTTCTTGATTACGTCGCTCATCTGGTTTTATGGGGACGGATAAAGCTCGCGGAGTGCATTACGACAAAAAGTCGAGGGACCAACAATATGCTGACGCATACACACCCGTTGTAACCATTAATAACATTGTAAACTCTGTTATTAGATATATTTTTTTTTTTTTTTTTAACTCAACCATTTTGTGCGATAAGTCGCAAGTATTTATTATTTATGCCAAACCTTGAAAGTAATGCTTACAGAGCGATATTACGAGATAAGCGTTGTAAAATAGCATGAAAATATACATTATATAGGCACGCGCGCCGATCCGACGGCGCACACGAGCGGGGCTTGTATATATATACGTTTTCCTCCATCTTTGGAGCTTCGCTTTCATTGCTCGCATCGAGATTTACAGACTTGGGCACAATCAGTTTATGGATTTTAAACAAAATTTGTTTTGTTTTCTTTCTGATTAAAGTTTTTTTTTTTTTTTTTTTTTTATTGCTGAAAACATTTTTTATTCATATCACTAAGCTCACGATATAATGATTTCTGACAATGTGTGAATACTTTTTCGAATTCCTTGACCATTTTTTGATTTTTCTATTGTTTCCTCAAACAAGTTGCATTGAGTTGTTTTGCTGGAAAAATTTTTATCAAGTACTACAAAATGTAACGTAATGTCATGTATAAAACACGTAGATTTTAACGCGTTGTTTAACAAATGGAATTAAAAAAAGTTGTAAAACGTAAAAGCGTATCGATAAATATTTCGCGTGTCGACTCGACTCTCTCCCCTTGCCACCATTCATTTATAATCACGTCGTGTTTGAAAAAAAAAAAAAAAAAATTTATT